TGTGGGAAAGTGGATCAGAGACTGTTGGTCACGGTCATTGCACCTGACCTGAGGATCCAAACAAGGGTTTTGTTTTGCCAAGTTGTGCCTTTCCTTCTGGAATTGTAAGTGAACACAATACTAGTGCCTGTTTACACTGTGAAGTGGATATTGTTACAGAGAATACACCAGAGGCTTCCTCACTGTTGAGCTAATAATGCCTTGTGTGAATGTATGATCTATGGAGAAACCCCTGTAGTTTTTACCTGCTGATGTTGTCTGGCTGTTGGAGAATAAATTTCGATGTTTTTTCCTCCTCCCACCAGGTGTGTGTATGCAAGTTTTCCTGGTGGTTTTCTCCTTCGAAACTGAGCTTCCTTCCCGCGGTCCTGAATGTTGGCTGGAGTTCATGTGTGAATGCGTAAAGCTTGTCACTCCATAGATGATCCCCTCACCATCCTGACTGCTGCTGCTCAATCACTGGGGTGGAGAGAATTTTTTTTTTTCCAAAGATTGATTTATTGATAGGCACAGGAACTGGGGTATGCCAGAGGTGTGCAGGGTGGGGGTAAGAGGATTCACCGGAGACAGTGGGGAGCAGAACTGACAGATCCACTGAAAGACACAGTTGAGGGGAGCAGCGGGGAGATAGGAGAGGTCTGCTGCACCGCGTGGGTCACCTCTGTGGCCGGGGATTGAACTCGTGCTGGAGTGGCTGAGGACAGCTTCATACTGCTGAGACTTAACACCCTTGCACCACCCAGGAGTCCTCGAGAGGTCTCATTTAAAGGCTGTGCCCCAGGTGTAGGCCTGTACCCCTGTAGTGTATACAGTGCTATATAATCCAATGTCACCTCAATTATAAAAATATATATATGTGGGAGGAAGCAATTGCTGTGGTCTAGAATGGCTGTTTGCTTGGGGACTTTGCCTCCCTCACCCTGAAATTTCAACCTTGCCTAAAAAAATAGATCATAAAAATGCCCTCTAGACTTTCGCCTAAAAAACACTTTACTGTAACCAGTTCCAGCCTTTCCTAAATATCAAAAGAAACCCAGGATTAGTTAAGCTAGACCAAAAATGAAAATACGGAAATAAACTTCCCACTTGTGGCCGTTGAGACCTTGCAGGTGGGCTCAAAAGCAGCTGCTAGCTCTAGCGTTAAAGCTCGACAATGGTCTTTCTGGGAGAAGAAGGCTTGGCTCTTCCCTTTCCTTCCCCCCATCCTTCCCGCCCTCCAGCTTTGTTCTAAGCAAAGAAGTAAAGGAAAAGGAACACCACCGTTCTAAAGGCTGAGGCTGGAGACAAGGATATGAGGTTTGCTCATCTTGGCAGGGTCGTGGGCTCCTAAAAGCAGGGACAGCGACCTTCTGTGTCACCTTGCACCAACTTCTGTTCCCTCACAGCCAGCTACTGTCCACGCTTGCTGACCACTCCAGTGGCTTCGGGTGGCCCCTGTGGTGAGAGGAGCTCGCCTGCCTGAATGTGCCGATTCATCTCCATTCCGGTGGCGAGTGGCGTGCTTGGGAAGGGACGAGTGGGGGTACAGTCGCCAGCCTCTGGGATGCCACCGGTCTGCTTTGACAAAAAGATGGGAAAAGGGGATTTGCGTGGTGTCACTAACTTCATTTTG